TATCTGTCTTTTGTCATTATTGACAAATCTTCTTCTCCCTGGCCAAACTTTGAGAAATCCTTCTACCAGCTGACCCTAGTTTCTGTGATGTGAGAAAGTGTATGCCTTTTTATGTAGATACAAATTCTGGTCTATATCCTCGCTTGTGACAGTGTTCCTTGTTATATTAAACTAATAAAAATCAGAATTGAATCATAATCACTTCTACTTTTTCCAGTTCTATTTTCATGCATCTCTACTCAAACACAAGTAGAACTTTTTTGGCAGGAGGGGGTTCTTTATCTTCTTTATTCTGAATTATTTGCTCTCCAGACATACCTTGCTTCTTGCTTTAACTTTCTCTCTTCAGAATAACCTTTTGTAGAATTTTTAGTTGATGGCTTTCTTTTCCTATTCCGAAACATTCGTATTTCCTTTTATTTTTCATCTGACATAATTTTATTTTTTTCTGCTTAATTAAGCATCACTGATCAGGCAGGAACTCAGTATACAGAAATCCATTCATTCAGTCATTTTTCAGAAGCACTCCTTGCACGCTTGCTATATTTAAGACTTTTTGATAGATGCATCAGTGTGTATCATTACTTATCAAGACACACTTCAAGAAGGCAGTTGGCATTTTCTGTACTTTTTAAGAAGGAATGACTACTGCCATTATTGTCTCTTTATTCCAAAACCTGAGGCCTTTATTCTCCAGGATGAGCTGCTCTCATTTTTCCCAACTGTTTACATCAATGGATCATCCAAAAGAAGAGGAAACTTGAAATTAGCACAAATACAGGCTGTCATTCAGTGTTGCTTTATGTCTCCTCTTCTTGATCACTAATGAGAATGGATTAATGGGAACAAAAAGATGTCAGAGAAAAAAAAGAAATGGTATTAAACAAAAGCATATGGAAATGTTTGACTTCACTAGCAAGCTAAAATTCAAATGAAAGCAAAATATCATTTCTTGTGCTTTAATAAGCAAATAAAAGATAACACCTAAAGTTAGCAAGGAAGTATTGAAAGGGATACATACATTGTGATTGGTATGTAGATGGGTACATTCTCTTTGGAGAAAAATTTGGCAATATTGATAAAAGTATTGATATGCATTTTATCAACAACATAAGCAATGAAAATGAAGTATTTTGCTGCCATTTCAATCAAGGTTTTAAAAGAACATGAAATAACATTGAATATACTTTATATTATTACCTCACAAAAGCATAATGCAAGTTGATTGCAGTTTTCAAAACTGTGACTTAGAAATAAATGTTAGAAGAAAATATGCCAAAATATTAACAGAGGTTATATTTGGGGGGTAGGCTATTATCTATTTTTGAGTATTTTTCAAATTTTTTTGAATAACAAATGAAAATAAATACTGCTTAGTACTTGATATAGTATCATTTTCAATATCAGATATCCTAATCACAAATTTATCACATAAATTCCTAGGAATTTGGAAGGTTGAATGCATCTATTTTTATTAAGAAATGATAAATATTTATATTAGTTGATACATTTCTTTCTCTTTCTCTTTCTATTGTAATGTATACATGTATGTTTTAATCTTTATATACATATACACACATTTATTCATATATACAATATATGTAAGACATTTTCCAATTTATGGAAGAAATAAAATACTTTATCTGTATTAGATAAAAAAGTACTAGAATATTACTTACTTCATCAAAATTGGGAAATTATTACTTTTAATAATTTTTGTTTTCCACATGGAAAGGAAAAGTAGCCCAATGCTGTAAACAGTGATAATAATGAAAAATATATTGATAGAAAAGAAGAGCTAAATTCATGTACACTATTTTGTTTTTGAGTGAGTGACTTAGAAGGTTAGAGGTCCTTTAATGACCTAGTTCCCCTGAAATACATTCCAAATGCGCAGATTCCTCCAACCTTCTGCATGTACATTGCGTGGGCCTGTTACCCTGCTTAGTTGTGTGCACACAACTTATGTGAGGGGAGGGCATGTAAACGCAATCAGAGAAAACAAAATCACTCCAACCTGAAAAATGCTTTTTTGTAAAATGTGTTGAAAAAAATGGCTTTCACAAGAGTGTAGTATTTCCAATTTCCACTAAAATTTTTATGTCTGACTTTCATGTTCTTCACCAATCAACTCTTATCACCTCAAGTCCCTCACTAACTAACATAATTTTCTTTTTCAGTCTGGTTGTAGATTTCAGTCTGGTTGTAGATTTCAGTCTATCTTGAACACTCAGATTTAGAACTACTCACCATTTTATTTATCAATCTTTCTAATTCCTGAGATAATTGTAGAATCACAATTGATGAATTTTCTGTTCATTACTCAGACTATTTAACCAAATGTTACAAATCTTCTGGCCCTCCCTTTCATTATGGTGACTAGAAACATGGACCATCGTCTACATCCAGGACCTTTTACTGACAAAAGTAAAAGCTCATTACAACCCTCAGGCCTTTATTTTTCTTTAGGTTGTATAGTCTTGGAATTATATCCTAACATTGTTGACATCACTTTGGAAAATCATGTCTAGTTCACCATGCTTTTTTTGTCAACTGTTAAGATTAGTTATGAAACTACTTACTAGTGCCTTTTCCTTGTTCAAATTCTGAACTTCTTAGTACCCCAACTGTCATATTTAATCAAAGTGCAGAGAAAAAGGGGAGGAAACATACTACGATGTTCACTGCATGTGTAGCTCCAGGTAATGGGACTATGACTGATTTAAATTTATTTTGAACCTTAAAGTTTTTTCGTAAGTTTATACCATTTTTCTAATTAGAGAAACACAAGCCTCATTATATATTTCATGTATATACATAGACAAGGATGAGACCAAGACCTAATATAGAATTAGTCTAAGGCAATAAGTGCTATTATTTCCAAGTTCTTAGTTCTATGAGTTGGAAGTTTTTCTTCTGCCAGTTTCATCCTCCAATTAATTTTCCATGATCTTTCTTTCACACAAATTTCACCTTTGTTTAAAAACTTCCATGACTACCATGAACATGATTTATGGATTAAAACCAACTATTTTAAGGCATGCAAAGTCTTCCATGTTATGGTTCCTGTTCATTTTCCCAACCTGTCCCCGGCATCTAGGCTTCATCAGACTGTCTTAGCTTTTTTTTTTGATATACGATATGATTTCATGGGTCTATGCTGTTGCTCATGCCTTTCCTCCTGCTTTTTTCACCCCTGTCTACTTGGCATACTGTCAAGATAATGGTTCAGCATAATCCCATATTTAACGTTTACTGGACATGCACAAGGGAACTTTTCTTCCTTGCCTTCCTCCTTCCTTCCTATCTTCTTTCTTTCCTCCATTGTATTTGGACATTACTGTAATATTACTATTATATTAATTACTTATATACACTAGATTGAACCTATTGTTTGTTTCCTTTTTTAAAATATGTATTTTTTATTGACATATAGTCAGTTTACAATGTTGTGTCAATTTCTGGTGTACAGCATAATACTTCAGCCGTACATGAACATACATGTATTTGTTTTCATATTTTTTCACCACAAGTTACTACCAGGTGTTGAATATAGTTCCCTGTGCTATACAGGATGAATTTGTTGTTTATTTTATGTATATTAGTTAGTATCTGCATCTCTTGAACTCCCGATTTATTCCTTCCCACCCCTTTCCCCTGGTAACCCTAAGTTTGTTTTCTATGTCTGTGAGCCTGTTTCTGTTTTGTAAATAAGTTTCTCTTTTCTTTTTTAGATTCCACATATAAGTGATATCATATGGTATTTTTCTTTCTCTTTCTGGCTTACTTCTCTTAGAATGATGATCTATAAACAGGCATTTCTCCAACAAAGACATACAAATGACCAATAGGCACATGAAAAAATGCTCAATATTGCTAATTATCAGAGAAATGCAAATCAGAACTACGGTGAGGTATCACTTCACACT